AAGCCACTGCTCCCAGCTTTCAGTGAGTTTTGAAACAGAACATACCTTTCCAGCAGTTTCCACTGTAAAAAGTGAGAAAAATATGAGCTTTCTTGGTATTCTTCAAATGGTGTCCCACTTAAATATTTATGGACAACTCTAGAAAAAGATTTTATGGAATTACATACATTTGTTGTATTACAATGTGTAAACAACTGTGTTTTAGTGTATTAATAGGCACTGAATATGGGAAAGTCAATCCTTACATACAATTCAATACATTTGCAATTATGTGATAGAAGTCTGCACTAGGTTTTAATGATATTGGTGAAAACAGTCATGTAACAGTAGTGATATATGACAAATGAAAATGTAAAAATAAGGCCGGGCGCAGTGGCTCACGCCTGTAATCCTAGCACTCTGGGAGGCAGAGGCGGGTGGATGGCCTGAGCTTGGATGTTCCAGACCAGCCTGAGCAAGAGCAAGACCCTGTCTCTAAAAATAGCCAGACATTGTGGCAGGCGCCTGTAGTCCCAGCTACTTGGGAGGCTGAGGCAAGACAATTGCTTGAGCCCAAGAGTTGGAGGTTGCTGTGAGCTATGACACCATGGCATTGAGTGACAAAGTGAGACTCTGTCTCCAAAAAAAGAAAAGAAAAGGTGAAAATAGTGCTGGCCCCCTTCTTGTGATGTGAGGGTGCCAGTGCTCTGTCATCAGACAATGTGCCTCCCACGTGCAAGCTGGACCACAGGGTCACTGGAAGACAGCAGAGAGGTCAAGGGCACTCACTGGCTGAGGGACCTGAGGAAGGTACCCAACCTCTATGGCCTCTGTTTCTCCTGTAAAACAGGGACAATAACCACGCCTGCCTCCTGAGGTTACCCTACGTACATGATTGTATGTACAGATTGAACGGCAAGTGATTAACTCTTTCACGGAATGCATTACTGTCAAGTTTCATTCAGCACAGGCTAGAAAGTTTGGGGAACATCCAGGACAGGGATTGCAGAACAAAGATCTGGGCTAAAAGACCGGCTACCCGGGAGCCCCTCCTGAATTCTCTGATGTCCCAGGATGAAGGGAGGAGGAATTGTGATTCTTACCACAATTTCCCAAAACTAGCAACCAGGGCGGCGCCTGTGGCTCAGTGAGTCGGGCGCTGTCCCTATATACCTAGGGTAGTGGGTTCAAACCCGGCCCCGGCCAAACTGCAACAAAAAAATAGCCGGGCATTGTGGTGAATGCCTGTAGTCCCAGCTACTCGGGAGGTTGAGGCAAAAGAATCACCTAAGCCCAGGAGTTGGAGGTTGCTGTGAGCTGTGTGACACGGCCACGGCACTCTACTAAGGGTGATAAAGTGAGACTCTGTCTCTAAAAAACAAAAACAAAAACAAAAAACCTAGTAACCAGAGATCCAAGGCCATGCCTGTCCTGTTTCCCACACCAGAGAAGCCATCAAATAGAGCTAGCATCTTTCTGCACAGGAAGTTAAAATCACAAACACTAGAATTCCATTAATGAATATCCAATAAGAACAAACACATGGCTGGAAATTGAAAACAGTTGGGAACATTTTCTCTAATCTGTTTTCAGAGGGGAGGCTGAGGGCAGAGGGAAGGATTCTCGTCCAGGGCTACACACCTGACGAGGAGGAAGCTGAGGCGCAGACTGTTTATCTGCGGGACGTCAGCTGCTCACTAAATGCCCCACTGCAGGGAGCAGGCATCTAAGCCCCTCAGCTCCTAGGGTGCGGGCTCCTACACCTCAGGAGGAAGCCACAGAAAGAAAGAAAGCCTTGGTTTGTCTTTTAAATGTATCCAAGTTATTAAAGTATCACAAATCCCAGCCCCAGCACCACCACGCTCCAGCTGCAGGGGCCTGGGTGAGCTACACGCGCTCACACACGCTGCGTGAACACGGGAAGTATTCATCATACTCGCTGATGTATCCAAGTGCCCAGGACAGTGCCGAGCACACAAGGGCCCTTAATAAATTATTAATATTTCTTGAATGAATGAACGTAACTCCCTATTATCTGGACTTCCACTGAAAACAGCAAGATAAATCTAAGATAAGTTTACACATTTATCTATTTATTAAAAATTGCGGGGGGAGTCTTGCTATGTTGGCCGGGCTGGTCTCAAACTCCTGGCCTCAGGTTATCCTTTTGCCTCAGCCTCCCAAAGGTCTGAGATTATAAGTATGAGCCCCCACACCTGGCCTTATTCATTCATTTATTTATTTATTCTTCTTTAGAGACAGAGTCTCTCTCTGCCACACCTGGCTAATTAAAAAAATTTTTTTGTAGAGACAGACTCTTGCTATGTTGAGCAGTGTTGGTCTCCTAAGCTCAAGTGATCCTCCTTCCTTGGCCTCTTGAAGTGGTGAGTGAGTCCCCTAAAACAAGGTTGTAGAATCTTCTTGGGCATTAAGAGTATACAAAAAAGAGCTTTTTTTTTTTTTGAGACAAAGTCTCACTTTGTCACCCTCGGTAGAGGGCTGTGCCCTCACAACTCACAGCAACCTCCAACTCTCGGACTTAAGTAGTTCTCTTGCCTCAGCCTCCCAAGCAGCTGGGAATACAGGCGTCTGCCACAACGCCCAGCTTTTTGTTGTTGTTGCAGTTGTCATTGCTGTTTTAGCTGGCCAGGGCCAGGTTCAAACCCACCACCCTCAGTATATGGGGCCGGTGCCCTACACACCGAGCCACAGGCGCCACCCACAAAAAAGAGCTTTAAACATGCTAGCACATGAGTCAAAAATGCAATTCTAGCTGGGCCTAGTGGCTCACACTTGTAATCCCAACCCTTTGGGAAGTCAGAGCTGGAGGATTCCTGAAGCCCAGGACTTTAAGATCAGCTTGGGCAACATAGTGAGACACCATATCTACCAAAAAAAATGTGCCAGGCATAGTGGTAGCATCTGTAGTCCCAGCTACTGAGGAGGCTGAAGCAGGAGGATCGCTTGAGCCCAGGAGTTCAAGGCTGTGGTGAGCTATGATGACGCCACTGTACTCCAGCCCAGGTGACAGAGTGAGACTCTGCCTCTAACCACCCCACCCCACACACACACCATAAGTATGTCCCTTTAATTGCTCTCAGAGTAAAGGACAAGCTTGTCCTTGGATCACAGTTTCCTCATCTGTGAAGTCTGTGAGTGACTATATAAACATACAGAGCATGACATGTACGGGGCACCCTTCCTTGCTGTGTACGCAGGAGTCTTCATTCAAAGTGCTTTGCCTTAAAACAGCGGTTCTCAACCTGTGGGTCACAATCAATGAAAATATATCCTGCATATCAGATATTTACATTATGATTCATAACAGTAGCAAAATTACAGCTATGAAGTAGCAACGAAAATAATTTTATGGTTGGGGGTCACCACAACATGAGAAACTGTATTAAAGGGTCATGGCACGAGGAAGGTTGAGAATCACTGCCTTAAAATTTTCCTCCACACTGCAAAGGTCCAAAAAGATATTTTCAGTGAGAGCCTAAGTCTGAAAAAAATTGGGGGAATCTTTTCAACCTAGACAAGCATTTTAGAAGCTGAGCAGAGAAGGCCTGGGACTGTCACGGGGTACTGGGTACTGGGGTCCAGCAGTGGTCTGTCTCAGCACGCCGTCTACACTGAAGTAGTGGTTATTCCTCACTCACCTTCTCCTAGAGAACACAGTAGTTTCATGTGGAAAGTACAGCTGACCCTTGAACAATATGGATCTGAGCTGTGTGAGTTCACTATTAGAGGTGTTTTCTTCCACCACTGAGATGGCAAGACCAAGCCCTTCCTTTTCTTCCTCCGATAAAGACCTTTATAACAATCCGCTTCCATTTCATGAATAGTGAATATATTGTCTTCCTTATGAGTTTCTTAATAATGTTTTATTGTCTCTTATTATAAGAATACAGTATATAATACATATGTGTTAATCAACTGTTTATGTTATTGATAAGGCTTATGGTCAACTGTAGACTATTAGTAATTAAGTTTGGGGAGAGTCGAAAGTTATAAAGTCATACACAGATTTTTCACTCCAGAGCAGCAAGGATTACAGATACCCTGACCCTCACATTGTTCAAGGGTCAACTGTACTCGGGTAAGAAACTGTCTCATGCAGAGAAACTTCTATAAGGCCCATCTTGGGGTTAGGATAATACATGCAGGGCTGGGCCTGAGCCCCTTACCTGGTAAGTTCCTCAAAGACTGTCTTGGAAGGGTCCTTCAGCAGCTGCGCCCTGCACTCTTTCACCATTCTGGAAGTTACTTCTGGTAAGAGGACTGCACACTTTTAATACAGTACAAACCGAATAGCCACAATCAGTGATTTCATAATCTGCTAATCACAAACAGAACTTAATGCTTAATGTAAAAAAATGAAAACATCCAGTTTATAAAAAAAAAAAATTCAAAGTGCCACCTGCACCCTCTCCCCAGCTTCATACTCAGAGTTCAGCACTGCTCCTGCAGGTGTCAGAACAGACACAGAATGGGAAGCAGGGCCTCCAAAAGTGTGTGTACTCCTGTGTCCACTGCAGAGGTGTCCGTGGATGGGTGAAGGAATGAAATACAGGACATGTACAGCGGAATATGATTCAGCTTCAGGAAGGAAGGAAGCCCTGCCATGCTCTCCAGCACAGATGAGCCGGCAGATGCTGCGTTGAGCAGACAAGCCAGTCACAGGGCAAAGACCCTGCACGATTCCACTCACAAGACCCCTGGAGGAGTCACATTCACAGAGACAGAAAGTAGAATGATGTCCCAGAGGCTGGAGAGAGGGAGCTGAGGAGCTGCTGTTTAA